TGGCATGTTGAGTTTTAGCATTCTTGCTTGAAGATCCGGATTAGTATGTAAAGCTGGGAGGAACAAAGACAGGCAGTTTTATTTGTGGTGGGTTTGGATAAATTGAATCTTAAGATATTAAGATAAATAAAAGCTTCAATCCAGGCAAGAAGCATAGCATAGAAAAGGAAGTGGAGAGGAGGCGGAGCTGGCGTGTAGCAGCAGGTTATCCTCTACAGGTTAGCATGGAGTTAATCCAACCTAAGGTAGCCAAAACTCGGATCTCTTAAAAATGCATTTAAACCACATTAGAGTTGAAACACAGATTTACCATCTCAATTGGCTTTGCAGTAAGCTCACCAAACGAAGCCAGTGTGTGTGTTTTATGTTGGAAATAGACATTTTCCCTACCTCCTCAGTTGTAAATAACACAGTGTTCCAAGGCCATAAATAATAGTGTCACTCAACCATGCCCTATTCTCGTGTCCTCTGCTTGCTCTCACCACAGGCCTCTAGTACTGCCTAGCCAGGGGCCCCTAGATTTGTGCTGCACCTTCACGCACTCACAATCAACGAACAGCCATAAAATGCCAGTGGAATGTTAGTGCAGAGCCGGACAGTTAAGTGGTGGAAAGGCATGATCACAAACTAGAAGACCTCATAATGGATGTTCTGGGAACAGATATTAGTGGGCTCCCCGTGTTCTTGCTAACAAAATACATCACACGTGCACACGAGGACATGAAAGCGCAAAACGTGCGCGCGGGCAGGGCGAACGCACGCGCATACGTAGCGCACGCACACACTGCACTTAGGGGTAGACAGTATTGATGGTTCCCTCGGGCATCACACAGACGCATCTGTTTCTGTCTCACTGACTCTCCACACTCATAATTTCAAGTAAGTCATAACACAAATTATAAACACATATCCTTCAACCGTGACGCCTAGGAATAACAACATGGAGTGCGCTGAGCTGATTTAGGGTAGGCTGGGACTCTTAAATCTTTACCTTTGCTCCTTTCTTCCCTTCCTCCTCTCCGTTTCTTCCCCCTTTCGCTCTCATGCAGCACAGGTGGCAGTCACTCTTGTCAAACACTGCTTCCCTCTCCTCTGTTGCCTTCATCTCTTGCCATCTCTTTCGCTTGACCCACTGACTACGCCATCCATTCTCACATTCTCGTGCCTCACATCTTCTTTCTTTGATTTTTCTTTGGCGTGGGAGATTTCTGCTCACTCTTGACCCCACCTTATCCCCTCGTCACCCAGAAATCCTGCCGTCCTGGCAGCCTCCCACATGACACTCCTTAAGCAGCACCTCAAAGATATCCTCATCACCCTCTTCGCTCCTCATTTTTCATTCTGTTGTCCCGGACTATCACCTTCAGCCTCGCGTCTCCTTCCTTTCTTCCACTTGTTGCATTCTGTGTTTTCTTTCCATATTGTCTCAGCTGACACCCCCCCTCCACACACACACACATGCACACAAACTTCTCATCACACGGTCATGTACTTTAGCCATCCATCTCCCACCTCTGTAGATCCAAATGTCTCAATATGTCCCAGGGACCATGAAGGTTCAATTGGAATCACATGTTGAGGCTGAACTGAGAATTTCACCCCTTATAAATAAGATGTCAGTTCAGCCTCGCACAGCCTCGCATGCTCTCTCACAATACAAAAAGTAAATTTGAGCCATGTGAAGCTCTGCGTAAATGCACATCTGTTTGCATCGTCTTTATCATGTCAGCTGAAATACTGTTATCTCGTAGAGGAGATTTTTTGACTCCAGAGAACCAGCGGCGGGATTAATTTGTCCTTTTATTAGAGTGCCTTATGACTTCCTATTGCTTGGGGTTTGAGTTTTATGAAGAATAATCACTGGCTTGTCACGAAAAACCATTTCATTGTCACCCTTTGAATTGGACAGGAAATGAAGATAATCCTTTGTTTGTCCGGGACACGCCAAGTCAAAGTTAAGCAGAGAGTGAGACAAGAGGGGAGGAAAAGAAGGAGGGTTCACCCACTCAGAATCAGCCAGCAGATACAGTACATACATTTGTCTTTGTGTGTGTGTGTGTGTGTGTGTGTGGGGTATGTGTCTGTCAGATGAATCCTGTCTGCTAGATTAATGCACATTTCAAGTGTGTTCTACAACTAAGGCCAAATGGCCACTCAAATTAGATGTGATTAAATACTCCAGTGTGATTCGGGTTCAGAGACTGTTAGTAATACTAATCAGCACACACATACACACAGACACAAACACCATGCACACACAATCACTGCATGAGGATGTGGGAGACAAAGTTAACAGGCAGGGTAATCACAATAATGCCCCTTTTTTATTGTTTTAGGAAGTCATCGCTCAGCAGAATCCTGCGGCACAACTCAAAGAGCACCCACAGGGAGACAGCTCTGTAATGTGCTGAGTTAATTTAGAGACTGGAAACGATTTAGCTGGCACTGAGGCATGGCAGCCACTTTGGTTTACGGGTTTCATTCCGTTGGGGTTTAGAAGGTGTCGGGTCGATCAATAATGTTTTTTTGTTGTACCTGTGTGAAGGAATGCAGGTGAGAAGGACGTGATGGCCAGTTATATGTATTGGCAAATTATTTTTCAGTAGCTTCCTTGTAAAGCCCTCGAGTCGCTGCAGTAACACAGACAATGTGTCAAATGTCAGAATGTACAGAGGTGTGTGTGTAGCATATACACTACATCAAAGTGTGACTGTCTTTGATAAAGTGGTTAGAACGAGATGGAATGCTGTTTGGCTTTTTCAGATACAGTCACTGATAAGATAAACCTCCCCTTTGAAACTGGTGTGAAGTTAGTGCTCTGAAACTTTCAATGCACTGTTCTCCCGCACTAAATTGGCTCTGTCTTTTATGCACCACCCACTGAGGTTCTAAAAATGTAGCTTCGCTCTTAATGGTGGCTACGATATGCAAAGGAAATACCAAGATCATTGCAGCTGGTCTTGGTGTATTTACAGTAGCATTTGGACCTTAACAAATAAATTTTCCAAGCTGCATCTATGTGAACTTAATCTTGCAAGAGATAAGAGGTGTGGCTATGACACTACTTGGATGTGATTCACTGTTGTTGAACTTCCATGTCTGGTTTTGTGGTGTAAAGACGGTCATCCTGCACGTACAGTGGTGCTGTTAATCTGACACACTGTTTATGAACTGTGGCACATTGTGCAGCATTCCTTGCCCATATATGACTCTGTGCATCACCTCTTCACTCTAGTTAACACAGCCGAAGATTAAGTAATGGAACTGGGATTGCCATTGTACCATTCTTTAAAATGTAAAATTCGCTGTAAGGTTTGTTGGACCGTGTAGCAGCAGACTGTATGAAGAAGGATTTTTAATTTTTTTTTATAAGCAATTACGCTGTTGTTTGATCTGTGGATTTTTACTGCACATTTCTTAAACTCTCAGAATTTTCCCCCAGTTTTACATTGTGAACGGCCAGGTCAAGCAGAATAAGCCTGCAGTCTAAAGCACTTGCTCCGGTAAAAGTCTAATGTAGGTCTGTGTGTGTGTGTGTGTGTGTGTTCCCATTACAGTGAGCATTAAGAGGAATAACAGCGGAGGTGTGGGGAGACGAAAAGTGTCACGCTGGTCCTGCTCCGTGATTAATGGTGTGATTAGCTGCTCCAATCCATGTCAGAACCCACATGCGTGTACACACAAATACATGCATGTTAACACACACACATACACACACAAACACACGTAGGCCTATTAATGGCCTTGAACGGGAGAATCCAGAATCCAGATGCGGCATGCAGATAATTGTACTAAAAACACCAAATGTGGAGTCCCAGGCCAGCAGGACTTTATTCTGAGTTCAGCATGTTTATTTTTGCAATTTAGTTATTTCTGCAGGGATTTAAATCATGGAATAAAAACACCCCCATGCAGGTCAATTTTTAATGGAGACCAAAGTGTATTTTGAATGCAGCGCCCCTCCTCTTCCTCTTCCTCTCACCTCACACAAACTAACACATTACCTTGCCATCCTGGTTTAATGCTCCCCTAATTTCAAATGGCGTTTAAAAGTCTGCAGTTGAGCAACATAGTGTTTATACAGCTTAAAATACCTTCAGTGTCTTCATGCTGGGTAGACCACTTGAGACTCATATGAACTGGACACACTGTAGAGACAAACACCCATATATGAAACCAGCTCAAGTCATATTGTATGGAGTAACGTGTTTGCATGTTCTCTTTTTCTTCTTGCCCGCTGTCTTCTTTTCTTTATTAATCGTATATTTAAAGTGTGACTGAGGTCAAAGTAGAGGAGGCCTGTGTGACCGGCTATCTGTGAGGATGTTCCTGCTCCTGAGTGTGTTTACAAGAGTGGGTAGACAGCATGTGTTTGTCACAACTCTGGATTTACGACATCCTGCTTGATGATGAGAATAGTCATCACAGAATTTCCTCCGAAGACACGAGCGTTCTCCGGAGTTCTGCGGGTTAAAATACGTACATCTGGTTGTCTGTGCGTGTGATGACGTTTGTTGGTATGTTTCCTCTGCACCTGTACACAGTCATTTGCTGCCACCCCCTCTGAACACACACTGACACATGCACATGCTGTGGTAACCGACGGTGACAGAAGAAAGATGTCATATCCTCCTCAGGCTGCTCTATTAGAGTCTATTACACTATTACATGCCCATGAGTCACAATGAGGTACCACTAATGCAGCACTTAGCCGACCACTTCAAAGATGTCTGCTTCTTTTTTCTGTGGAATCTCTGTCTGAGATTAAGGAGCTCTGGAATGAAGAAGTTTGTTGGGACATCTCCGTATGCACAAGGGCCCACAGCTGCAGCGAAGATGCTGCACATCTGTGTTTCTAGGTGTTCTTTGCTGTACACCTGTCTGTTTTCTGGATATAAAACTAGTATTTCCATTCCTTTTTTTCTTTGGGTAATAAACATGTCTTGCTTTTAAGATTTTGTCCATTAAAAAATACAATTCTTTTTTTCTCTTCCCTTTAGGCAGCAGGCTTTACTGGCAGCCATCAGTGAGAAGGATGCTAACATTGCCCTGCTGGAGTTATCTTCCTCCAAACGCAAGAAAGCCCAGGAGGAAGTGATGGCTTTAAAAAGAGAGAAGGACAGACTCATGCACCAGCTCAAACAGCAGGTACATCCACCCCAAGTGACCACCAAGGTATTTATATATCCCTATAAACATTGAATTAAATTAACAGCATTCCTGGTCTAAGAGGTTGGCCGGCCTGCACATGAATCAAACGGTCTTTTGGTCGAAGTTTAGGACAGATTCTGGCTCTGTGAATCAAAGGAGGAGCACAAATTCAAACCTGCTGCAGATGATGCATTGCTTACATTACAGGAACCTAATGGAAAGACTTTTGAACTTTAAAACCAGGAACAGATAGAGGTTAATAATTCCTGGTAGTTAACAGAGTAGAGTTCCCCGCCTCAAACCACATTTACTGCGTTCAGTCATCATAAGCCAAACCAGTCAAGCAGGAGCTGTGATTCCAAATCCAGGCGCATAAACACTATTAACAATCATGTTGCAATCAGAGTGATTAGATGCACTCAAGTCGCAGACACAGACTGGTATCGTTGATGAGTCACCGGCGGACTTTTCTGTCTGGTGTCTCATGGTCAAACAGACATAAATCCCTGCACACACATATACCTACGCACACACACCTTTTTCCCATGCTGCCCTGGCTTTCAGTATGACCTGGGGCTGAGTTAGGTATGTGGGTCATTAAGGTCTGGTCAGACCACATCAGTGACTGATCCAACTTGAATGCTAACAGTAATGAGCTAACAGCAGGGGAGTCCACATATACGGTCTCCTGAGTCACAGGGGCTTCTGGGAAAGATGGTGCATTTAAAAGTCAACAGATGCAGTGGCTGGTTGTGCATGTAAGTGCGAACCTATGTTTGTTCCCGTCTCGTAAACGGTAAACAGTTCCTAGGGGGTGCCATTCCATTGGAGGAATTTCAAGGAAAGCCTATTATCTGTTTATCGCCATTGGATGCGTCATTTTTCCCGTTGGGTAACTAGCAGTTACAGTCCACCTGATGATGTGATGAGTTCTAATTGCAACGATGTGGCCTCTGGGCCTTGAGCAGCGGAGAGGAGAAAAAAGGGGTAAAAGTGGAGGAGAAAAGAAAGGGAGAGGAGTTGGCAGCATAGACAAATTTTCTTTGATTTCTCTTTTTCGTACATGCAAACCAGGTTCCGGAAATGTCTTCAGGCACACGTGCATATAAACCCATCTCTGCTGCTGACTGCAAAAATTTAGCAGGCAGTGTTATTGACACCCACAACAAAGGCGGTACAAATGTGGGATCTTGCCATCTATTAACGTTAAGGGGGTTGTAAGGTTAGCAGTTCCTACAGGGAGTCTACTTCGCTCCCTTTCTTTCTACAAAATGAGCTCTCTGGAGGTTTTGTTGTTCAACATTACACACATGAGCTCTCTGTCTTCTGAGCCATTGACACACATATCAGGATAGGGTGCCGTCCTTGGGTCCTCAACAGCCAGTGGTGGAAGGAAGCTGACCAGGAAATGCCAAAGAATTATGGGACTCGAAGTCTCTTAGGAGAAAGCTGATCTTGAGACAGCAGATAGATTTACAGATAGCATTGCCCTGTTTGACCTCCCCATATCCCACTCTTGGAATATCATGTCTGTCTGTGTGTGTGTGTGTGTGTGTGTAAAGGAGTCCGTCTAAGACAAACTTTCCTTTCATTCACTTTGCTTCCCTTTGAGGCATAGGCCTTCTCCAGCACAGACAAACACACGTATACAAACATACACACACATGAAGAGCGCAGTGTTGAGACTTCCTGAGGTGAGAGTTAGAACAAATGTGTCCCCATGTGGGAATTCTCGGAGTAGTCCATCCAAGTGATGGATGGCCACACATCAGTGGCGCTTTGAAGCCGAGAAAAGATGAATTGCCAATTCTCGGAGGTGTGTCATTTTTGATGACTTTCTCTCTTCATCCTGTCTCTTTTTTTTGGACACACTTGACCATCCATCCTGTCATTGAGAGCAACTTGTGTAAAACTATCTGCTTGCCTGGAGCTGGGTCACTGTGTTACCCTGTTTTTACTGGGATAGCACGTAATGTTGCACACACACGCAAACACTCTCAGAGACCTGATTAAAGGAGCGTGTATAAATGTTGTGAAATTTGCGCAGCCTTTCCCCAGCTGCCTGTTTGTTTAAGGCCTTTCTTGTCAGCCTCCTGTGTCCATATGTGTTAACGCAGCCCTTCTCTAATCAAGGCAGGCTTGTGATTTACTGAGGACTTGGATTGAGGTTTGGGATGCAGCTGTGAGCACAGCAGTCGTCACTACCATGTTTACACCAGCAGCTGCACATTGATACGTATGCAGCAACACACACTGTATGGATATATGGTAGAAGCCAAGTCTGTTTTTATTAGAGAGGTCAGTAAAACGCTCCTCTCCTCTCCTCTCCACCTCCCCCAGTAGTGCCACCTGTGTCTGTTGCAGGCTGCCTGATCTACAAGTGGGCCTGGAGGCCATTAGCGAGCTGTTTACTCTGCAAAGCTACTAATTAACACTAATTAAAACTCACACATTCCACCTCACAGGCATTTTACGTGTGAACACCTTCTTTACACATGCATGCAAAAATATGTAGGCAGCAAGAGAGTGTATGTGTGTGCTTTTCCATGTGTGTGTATGTGTGTGTTTGTCTGTTTGCATAAACCACATGTAGGCTGACCTGACCACACAACCAGACTGTTCCAAATGTAATTTATCACTTCATTCTTTTGTGTTTGTGTATCAGGTCATTAAATATTAAATATGTGCTCACACACACACACACTGTCTCAGACTGCTGGCTTCTTACACTACCATATATGGTTGTTATTTGATGAACAGGAACAAGTAATGTGGTTCTTATTAGATTATTAGCAAGGACTAAATTCATATAAATCTCTGCCATAAATTAGTTTTGAAAACTAGAGAAGCCATGTCAAGCAGCACAGAAATCAAACAGCAATATTAATCCTTGTGGAAGTACCACCAGTATGTGCTGCACAGCAGTGGTTTCATCAGCTGCAAAGTATATGATAGTCATTGTGCTTGCCTCAATGACAGGTGTCAGCTGTGTGACTGTTGAATTGAGGCCAGCCCCACCCTGTCACACCTGCTAATGTCAACACCTGAGGTCATGGAGGGCTGTGCACCTCAACCCAGCCTTTAACAGCTCTAACCACTGGTCTGGTCTCTGTCTGAGCCCTCCTCCATCCCTCACTCTTCATCTTTATTTCTTTCTCTCTCTTTCCCTCTCACCGTGGTGTCAGTGTTCTCACCTTATCTAAGCTACTCTTCTCCAATTTACACTAATTGCTAACCTCTTTAATACCAGCCACATCCTCTCCTGTGATCCCGACTGGCGCATTTCCTCAGTCATTAGGCCTCAGCTTCTTATCTCAGCAGAGATGTCCCCGGGCCACTAACTACTGTAACACCATTTCTCTTCTATCTTCACAGCTGACTCAGGCTTTTTGCCTTTTGCTGCTGAGGCTGTGTCTCATTTAAGCAATGGAAGCCGCAACATTTTCGATGAGAATTGTGTGCACATCTTTCCTTGGAATTGTCTTCATCTCATATACAATCCTACCTCCCTCTCTGCAATCATCTCTGGCCTCAGGGGAGGCATCTACAGTTAAGGGAATAAAGCTGAGCCTGTCAATATATCTGCACCCACTCTGTCTCTGTCTATCTCTCAGACAGCTGGCCTTACTGCAGTCAGGCTGATTGTTAATGTTAGTCAGCCTGGGCTGTTATCTCTCTCCAAAGCAACGATGTTGGCAGGATGACAGCCTCTTCCACACTCACACAATTACACACAGATGCACTAACACAGACACACAAAGGACACATAGTCTTTCTTAGCCATTTACAGGCCTGTAGAAAGATGCATATTTGAGTGTAATTTTAATCAGTGACATCTTAAGTGAGGTTTCTTCACTCAGGCCAGAACGCCTGTGGCCTTGGGCTACACAAAACACTAACTAACTGTTCTTACTAGGATTTGTCTAATCCAATTAAATGACAATCTGCAATATGGATGACATTTGACAGACTTACGATATTTACATGAGGCAATTTATGACCTGTCAAATGTTGTTAGAGGCACAGTTTTTATCATCCTTGATGGATTTCAACATGCTTTCACTCCATCCAAAAATTCCTCAGTCTAATTATTCAAAGACCCAGAATACAGTTTCGAGAAACTAATAAGCAGTGATGGGGAAATAAACAGACTAGTGCGCACATGATTTAATTATGCATTTTAATTTTTTTGTGCTTCTTGTTTATCTCCTTTTCTTTTTTGCAGACTCAGAGCAGAATGAAGCTGATAGCGGATAACTACGAGGAAGATTACATCCATCCCCAACACCATCCCCATCATTCGCACCACTTGCATCCAGCAAACGTGCATCACCGAAGCCTGCCAAGGGGGCCCCCCCACGCCAACCACAGGCCCCCTATGGACCAGGTCAATATGAATGTGCGGACACACACTTGAACACACTCACCCAGAGACACCAGTTGCACTTTGGGCTTGTTTACACAAGTTTGCATGTTGTGTGCTCTCATCTCAGTGCTTTTAAAGTTGATGCAATTTCATATTAGTCATCTCCACCACAAGTCAGTTGTGGTCAGATTTGACAGCATAAAATTTCCCTTCTCTCTGCTGCTCTGTCTCTTCTCTCTCAACCTCATTACTTCCTGCCAAGTCCAAGTTATTCATATCATTTAGATAAGAGGCCTGAAGGAGAGACCTGCCAAATGAGTGTCTTTGATTGATGGGATTTGTATGTGAGATTAGTTTATATATCATTCATCTCTCATACAAGCTACCTACTCTCTGCGTATCATATCCAGACTGCCCTGAGGACAAACTTAATGTGTCTGTTTGAAGACAGTTATGAAGAACAAACTGTTGTTGTTATCAGCACAAAGTGTCTGTAGTTTAGTGTGAGCATCCAAGTGTGCATAAGCATGTGCTTGCCTGTACGTGTGCGTGTGCAGATGCACATGGAGGTGCACGCCTGAGACCTTGTTGATACCATATACCCAGATGAAACTGCTAATGGGAGAACACACTCTTCAAAGAATGACAGGGAAGATTTCACCGTCTTCATTAGCTGATAAAAGCTTCTTGTTATTTGAATGTAATTCAAACTCATCACAGCTCTATTGTTGTCAAGAGTCAGTGATTGGGGGGATTCCAAGCTATAAAGATGTGTGTGTGTGTATGTATATGTGTATGGGGCTTGATGAATACCTGGGGATTTCCAGCTGAGTCTAAATTCCCACATTTGCTCTATTTACTATGCACTGTTGCATGTTTCTAGACTTTATGAACATTTCTGAAACTGCTGTCTAAATTGGAGTCACGCATGCACTGGGGATCCCCTGTGCTTAATAACTCTAAAACGCACACACATGCTTAAAAGCACACAATACTACCCATGCATCACCCCACACATACCTCAGCAGTATGTATCAGGACAGGATAGCTGGTTTTAATATTTTTTTCACGCCTGTGGACGGACTCTATTTTTGAGTCCTTCAAGAATGTAAAGGTCTGGGTTTGATTGACACCCATATGCACACTTCTCACCCAGGAATCCGAAACACACTTGGGCTACATTAAAGTAGGGTACGTGTGCATTTACATTCTGTTCACCCATAGAACGAACCTACATCTAATTTGAAAGATTTAGTATTTGGTTTAATGTATGAAAATTTAAAGTGCGGAAACTGACATGGAGAAACGATCCCCTGAAACTAATATGCAATCCCGCAAGGACCACCTTTATGCTATGCTGTGTAGTTATTATTGTACGTTATGTTATATTTTAAATCTGACTTGCTGAAATAATATTATCAAGCTATTAAGCTACATTGTTCTTTTGTATTACTTGCAACCACAGTCGGCTTTATATTAAACTGTGAACAGCAGGGGCTTAGTTTTTACTATCACACATTACTCTCTGTCACATTATACTTATAAATATCTTTGTTTCAATATGACTACCCAGCACTGTTTTACTGCAGCCGTGTTTATAGTGTTTGACATATGAAACAGTAGCTCTCTGCAAGTGATATGTCAACTTTTCAAGTTGGACTGAAAAAGGCTAGCAAAGAAAGTATTATTGGGATTGCTGGGAAATCTTGTTAAGAATGTACAAAATAACAAAATAAGTCATAAATCTGGGCAGATTGGATGAATTATACAAACTATTAAAGTTTTGTTTTTGTGTCCACACAAGGGGACTGTGGAGCTTCATCCTTTATATGCAGCATCTGGAGAAAAATGAAAGCTTAAGTTTAAAATGCAAATACAAATATATTGGAGACTGAGTAGATTCGACAATGCCAACAAATGTGTGCATCTACAAATTGCACAAATGACACCTTTCATGTGGGGCTGGGAGACATATTGAATTCCATCAATAAATTGCAGTCGATTGCTGTAGTTTCTGCTGTTTTCTTGGAGGTGACTTCACATTTGAGCTCAGCCAGTCAAACTAAACTGCATTCTCATTTACATTTTTAAAGAAACGTATTTTGTGTCACAATAACTTTGTTTGTTGCAAATCACAAACACGTGCCTCATCAACATATCCTTGCCATGTGTTTTACTGCTTCATTGTTGCTACTTTCTTACTTTATTAATTGGGACATGACTTTATCCTCGTTACTCAGAAAATGGAGGAGACTCTTCAACTGTGTAACGAAAGGGCCGTATTTTAACCCAAAGCGTGACCAAGTAATTTTGATACCTAACCTTACCCAAGCTTCTAACATGTAGAAGTCTTACAAAACATTATGTTTTAACCTAACCAGGTAGTTTCTGGCTACACTTAACCAGAAAGCAAGTGAAAACCAAAACTAAATAAAGACAGAGAACGAAACTTAAATCTGAGACTGATGACGTTTCGTCCATCACAGCAGATCCTGGTCTTCTGGGTGAACATTTGGTCACTTGGTTCTGCCTCGAACCACACCTCCAACCTCTAAACCCGGACTTTGCCGTTTCTTCAAACTGGCAGCCTTTCCAAACACGTCTCTGGTCTTAAATTATGTTTCTTTCGAAACACAATTATGTTCCCTTCAAAAAGTTTTTGAGAATGCAGGTTGTGTTTGGAGACAAATTATCACAGGTACAGAGCAGCTTGCATTAGATGATTCACTTTCCAGTGTCCCGCTGTATGAGAAGACAGAGCAGCAGTGGAAGGAAATCACAGTAGTGTGAACATTTTATATTGGGAAAGACTTTGTGCCCGTTTACACAATCAAAAAGCCTGACTTTACAAGGATGCAGAAAACAATCAAGTCCAAGTGTGGACCATCCAGCTGCAAACGTGTTGCAGAGTTCATGTCCTACTTTTTATGTCATTTGTTATTGTTGAACATCTGCTCAGAGTGTTTTTTTTTCCTTACAATGTGTGCAATCTCTCCAATAGGATAATAGCATTGGTAGTGGTGCCTATATTTTTGGTGGTATTGCAAATATAGCCGTAGTTACCACTGAAATGCCTAGAGTTCGTTTTTTTATTTTTCTCCATTCCACCAGTCCTGCTTGCTGGGCAACAAAATTACCATGTCAAAGATGTATATCAAGAAGGCATTGCCGCCTCCTGTCCACGAGCTGTGGCCAAACTAACTATTATTTAGGGAAGTTGTGTATCTGTTGTTCTTCATCTTGCATGAAGAACACACACTTAAAAAATAACAAACGGACCCTGGCGACGGAAGTCAGATATGTCACCTTGTGGCCTTTTCTCATTTCTGATCTTTGACCTTATGGGGAAGTTCAGCAGAGGTCAGGGCAAGGCCTCCAAGCTTTGTATTTGTGTGTGTGTGTGTGTGTGTGTGTGTGTGTATGTGTGCAGTGCTGATTAGGTGTTGATATCTGGTCACACAGTCCGAATGTCGCTGAAGTTCCTGAACTGAGACTGTTTTATCTCCAAGCCCTGGACCTCACATTTCTTTGTCCTCCCTTGTCCACTTTTATTTTAATGTCATTAACTTTTTCCTAAACACTTATTTGTGTTTATCTCTCCTCTTATTTCCTTTCTTTGTCCATTCCACTCATTTAGTTTGGTCATACCTCTTCTGGTTCTTTTTTTCCCGCTTAACATCACGTAACCTCTCAGTGTTGCTTTCATTCTTTGCTTCAGTCCTTCATTTCTTCCCCCTCTATCTTTCTCATTTCAAATGTAATATACAAGTGTGGCCTGTCCAGTGGTTCGGCGCTTTTCCGGGTCCAGGAATGCCACATGAGGATGATTGATGATGATAATGATAATGATGATGAAGAGGGTCCACACGCTCACCCTAGAGACCACAGTGCCTTTCCAAGATACAGCTAGTGCCATGAATAACATAACAGTGACCACACATGCACATTTTTTATGCATTTGCAGTTGCTGAAACGCAGACACATGCGCACCGTGTACACTTCCAACTGGCACATCTAAATCACGTAAGCACAGATGCATGTATTGGTACGGCGGATACACGAACACAAGAACACACTTCAAAGTTTTCTGAGCAGCCAAACCACATGTCATTCAAAGCTCATTGCCTCAGTTAGTGAAGTCCATCCCAATCCTCACACTGTACTCCTCGTCCTCTACTGAATTTGTGATGGTCTTAGTCAGAGGACAGGTGAAATCTAATCGGAGGAGACATACGCAGGAAGTGGCTTTACCCTCTCGAGATGCATCCGAGGTATCTGTCTCAGCACGGAGTGCGCACAGTTTGATGGGCATGTTGTGCTCATGTTGTTCACATTTAGGCATGCCAGCACCACTGCCAGATACTTGGCAACAACCACGGAAGGAAATAGAAAACAGCCATAAAGTGTTTATCAGAGAGTGAATTATACAACCGTTTCTTTTTGGTTGGCTTTTTTTTTTTCTTCTAAGCCTTAACATGCTGCCTGCTTCAGGTTTATGAGAAGTAGCACATGGTATTTGGCCTGTTTGTGGGTATGTGTGTGACTCTCTGTATGTGTATGTGTGTGTGTGTGTGTGTGTGTGTGTGTGTGTGTGTGTTTAACCTGGCAGAATGAGTAGTTATAGGTCTGGCTCTGTTTACAGGGCCTGTCACAGCCATTCACTGCATGTTAGCATTTAGCATCTAGCATGTTCCAGTGAAAGGCCATTGTATCTATAGCTTAGCTGCTTAGGTGTAGCCTACTGAGTTTACCAAACGTGTCACAACTACTCAGTTCAACCAAAGCCACTGTGGACCGCAGCCAAGACCCTTGTGTTTTTTTTGCTCTGGTGTCACATTAGCATTGACTCTGCTTTGTCGGAGCCTATTTTAGCATAATGCAGGCAAGGGTTTGGCTATAGCGAGCTGCCAGTTCATGCTAACCGTCATAATGTTAGTGTCCAAGTGAATTATCCTACTTGTTAGCAGGGCCCTTGTCTGCACTATTTCAGCCCGAAGGAAACCCCTTATGTGTTTAGTTATTGGTTTTCTAACAATCACATTGAGGAAGGCATTTTATGATATCATGCATAGCTTTTCTGAATGAGAGCATGGACAGGAACATTTTGATTAAAAGTTACAGAGGGTTTGGAGGACCATAAGATTACTCAGTGAGACTCAACTGGTAAAGACAAAACCACTGGGCCAGAGTTTGTACAGTAAATATTTCTTTTTAAAACGGAAACCATCTGTTGCCACATTTTCACATGAAGCACCGATAACAAGGAAAGTGACGGTTAATGGATGAATCATGACATGTTTCTACTGTTCTCTCACAGGATGATGAAGAAGGAATATGGGCATGATGACCGTTACCGTGGGAACCCGCATCCATTTGTTCACAGTAAGTTTCTGCTACACAGCTGTTGTTGCACCTTCTACTAATTTTAGAGTTAATATTTTCCTTACCGGGGTGTAGCACTGTATATAAGTTCCAGATTTTTTAATGATCTTCTACACAATAGGCTTCTTCAGTGGGCTTGAGTAACCATTAGCTGGGAACATAGATGGTACCACAATAACCACAGCATTACACAACTCTGACAGAGGAGAGTGTAATAGAACCCAACTCCTTTTCCATTGCTTGTGAATTTCAGTCGGCTAAAAAAGTTTGATTCAGAGGTTTACGGCTGCTTTCTGTAAAGTGTTCATACGCCGGTCGCGCTACATATGGCGCGTGTACTCTGTGGCTATATAGGTAACTGTGTGGTATTAGACCTATACACACCCAGCGGCCTAAAGCGAGCATACCAGGGCCCATAGGTGATAAAAACGACATGGTGAGAAAAACCAGAGATGGATGAGTCTGTCTCTCCACACATTGCTTTTTCAGTTCATAGTAAACTTTTACCATGCCTCCCCACTCCTTTGTGTGCCAGTGTGTGGGGTAGTTAATTAGAATACAACACAGAACAGTCATGAAGCTGAAAAAGCATAAAATGAAGAATGCCAAGTCATAAAGCATAATTCCTGCTTTGGGGGTTTTATATTGAAGCCCCCCCATAGGCTCAGGATGCCTTTGAACATAGATGTGCAGGGTTATGGTTTGCTTGGAGCTAATGTATATGTGTGTGTGTGTGTTAAGGGGTGTGTGTGTCTGCGCAAAGTCAAGAGCGACAGAGACAAAAAAATATAAAGGAAAATAGATTTTAAAATATATCTAAATGAAAGACGATACAGATAGACAAAGAGAGACAAGGAACGAGAGGGAAATGGTGCCTATGTATATACTGTGTGTGGGAACGAGAACGAAAACCAGGCAGCATGGTATAGTCATAGTTTCCAGTGCATCTCATTCTTTTCCCCCAGTAATCCACAGGTGGACCATCACAAGCAGATTCTGTCTCTAACCTCAATGACTTAGTAGTTGTGCACTTTGCCCCAGCGCTGCTTTTGGGATTAAGAGTCCTATAGCTTGTGTGTGAGCAAATGGTTTGTCTTCCTGCAGTGCAAAGCTTTTTTTTTTGTGTGTGTGTGTGTGCGTGCTCAGCTATGATGCTTGTGTGTGCATTTGCAAGCATGTGTGTATGCCTGTGTGTGTTCAAGAGAGTGTTGCTGAGCAATACAGTGCCGGAGCAGCCCACATAGCCGATAATCCAGTCCATGTGTGCCGAGAATGCAGCAGTGTCAGGATTCACCGTAATGAAACAGACCACACTGCCCCCTTTCTCCCTCTCTTTCCGTCTCTCCATCTTTTTCCATCACTCCTGTTCTTTCCACCTTTTCTCAGAGCTTTCGCTCTTTGCCCCGCTCTAATACGTATTCCTCAATGTAAACCTGGAGTTGGACCCGCGAGTAGCCCACTCGCTCGGTATCTCCAATCAGATATCGTGATGGTGTGTGTATACGCGTTCATGTGTATGCGTGTGTGTATTAGTGCTTCTTATCCCAGTCTAATAGAATAAGCCAGGCACATTAGCCTTTAGTGCAGAGTGGTGTTGTGGCTAGCGATATCAGTGCTGCTCATCTATCCACTGCTGTTATTCTGGCAGTGCACAACACGAGCGCAGCTAACGTGTATTAGCCATCCTCTATGGGAGAACAGATGGGAGCCATTCAGCGGTATGTAGCTACAGCGCAATAAGGCCAGACCTAATCCCCATATCCTGTCCCTGAGTGAGCCCTCCCTAATATGAGCAAACAGAGATGACAGCACCGATAGACAAATAGCTGGGGATCCGTCTGTCTGTCTGTGAGCGTGTGTGTATGCAAGATTTGATTGGTGCTTCTTATGGATAACCTTGAGTCTCAGTGCCGGGCTGCATTTTGAAATCCACACAAACTTAAGTGCTGAGTTTGAGTTGGCAAGTTTGAGTTCTAAACATCCAGGTGTGGATTTGTATTGGTTAGCCATGGTTCTCAGAGGATACTTGACTCTGATTGGCTCATTGAGGTTGTGTATGTCCTGCTGTTGATTACAGAGGTTTTGTTTACCCTCTGGCCTCCTAGATCTCCCCCCCCCCCTAATGAAATAAGAATGTCCTTTTGGACAGGGAGCACAAGAGAAGGGGGTTGGAGGAAAAAGTGAAGGAAAACATGGGGCCCAAGAAGTGAAGCAGAGTGGGGGGAAGAGATTTTCTGGAAACATTATGCTTTTATCCCACCGTGAAGTTATTTGTACTGAATAAAGCGAAAAGAAGTTGAGAGACTTTCCAAGTGGGGACAGAAATATGTTTGTGTACGAGTGTGTGTGTGCACATGAATGTGTGTGTGCACGCAGGGAGGAGTGAGGCCTTGTTCAGGTTAAAACAAGTCAAGAAGATGGCTTTCATTTGCCCATGCTGTGTTTGCAGAGAATGCCGTGTTTGTATGGTTATATTGTGTACGTCAGCGAACGTCCCACCGTTGTGCATGCACAGCTTACGCAAGTCTATAAAATGCACTCTAAGCTCTGTGAGAAACTGAAACTGGCCAGCAAACTCTCAATCCCACTTATCACTATAAATTACAATGAATCTAAGCTTGTTCTCAATTGTCTGATTCTGATTGTTTGGTTTGACATTTAAGTCTAAGGGCTCGTCAATCCCAAAACTAATCTCAAAACTGACCTGACAACCTATGAAACTCATGAACTCAAGGCAAAGCAAGCAAGAGCTGTAATTTTGTGTGTGATCGTGTTTGTGAAATACACATGCTCACACACAATTTTTTCCCCCCAAAAGTACTAAAAGGGGTCTTTTTTTTCTTGCAATAGGTGAAGGTTAACAAATGAGCATTGATGTCAAAATGAACGTTATCGTTAGATCCTTCATATGGAAGTGTACCTGAGCTGCTACAGGCCGTAGATCCAGTGCACTAAGTACTACTGACATCACCTTTGTGCGTCCACAGTTTCTCAGCAATAACAGTTTATAGTTATGTGTCTGTTTTTTTTAATCTCACCTTGTTAACATTCTTTCAGTGAACAGTAAACAAATTATCAAGCTTTAAAAATAACTGAATTATCATTGGTAAGTTTTAATTCATGGTTGGCTTCCAAAGAAAATTATGCCAGCAGCGTTTGAAATGGCCGAGCCGGCCCTGCCACTTTTTTATCTGCACAGTATGCCAGGATGAGTCTCCAGCATAAACAACCATTACCCTACGCATTAATTACAACAAGCTGATAGTGCATGTTTTCACAAGTCGCCTGGAGAAATATCTGCTCCTTGTTATCCACAAAGCTCAGTGTTAATTCATGAATACATTCGTCTAATTCTGGATTTTCTGAAATGTCAGGAGTCAACACATGACAGCAACTCATCAATCAGGCTTTAGATTTGTGTATTAACGTGGATTATGTTGGAGGATATTTAGTTATAGAGTCTCCAGGAAGAAATTGGAACTCCACTAGTACATTAAAGTTAAGTGGCTCCATACTCTGTTTTGTTTGCTATAGGTAGGTGTCAGATACCCTACATTCTTTCTCTTGTATTTGCCTTTTTCGTTTGAACCCCTGCCTTGAGGGCAATAAAATGGCTCATAAAATTCCAATATTTTAGCAGCTTATCTTTGTCCAGGTGGTAGTCTTCGTAGCCAATGCCCAAACTCTGTGTGCGTTTGGGTTTATAGATATGTCCTCCTGCAAGGCCAGACTTCGCCATGTGTCTTTGGTAATCAGTGAACCATGGTTTGGAGGTCAGTAGAGGCGTCGGACCGAGGCCATCCTTCAGCCAGCTGTCAGTGTCATAAGTCTGCGAAGTCAAAGGTTGTTCCACCAGGTTGAGCATGAGTGGAGAGAACTCAATAACTCAACAACACCTGAGAAGCGACACCTGAGTATTCTGTATGTTGTATCTTTTTCAGTGCATCTTGAAACAACATCTGAATTACGCTCAAAACTTGTACTTGTGAAGATGCAAGTTGCTGTTTATGTGCATGGGAACTTAGGAAAAACTGTTTTGGTAACTTTAGAAAAGTTTTGGAAACACACCAATTTCCAAGAGTAGTGGATGATGCAGCTCCTGAATAACAAAAGTACTCAAATTTGATCCACCACAGTGGTTTAACAGTCTTAAAATTGCCATTATCACCTTCATAAAGGAACAAATTAAATCATCTATGTAAAAATAAACTCTGCAACAGAGCCTTGACAAATGCAAGCTTGCCCAGAGAAGGGCAGGAATTTGACATTCTGCAGCAAATTAGAAAACGCTGTGAGAAGCGTGAGATAGAAGTTCACTCCCAGTCATGGCCTCATGTGTTTCTGTAGTTATACTGTGACATCATGATTAATTTTAAAATTATATATTGCTTTTTAAATGCCACGCACAATATTACTTTTAAGTAGGTAAGTGAAGAGCAGGGATAGAGTTGCTTTGTCATTGTCAGCATGCAAGGCTGTCGACAGACAGGACCCAGAGACAGTTCTTCAGCCCCAACAGACAGACGAGGAGGAGGAGGAGGAGGTGGGGAAGAGAAGGAAGAGGGGAAGGAACAACTGGCAATGTTGTGAGGCAGACAAGTTTATTCGTGTTTTCTTTTGTGTGTGTGAGTGTGTGTGTGTGCGCCCGTGTGCGTGCGTGCGTGCGTGCGTGTGTGTGGTTTTCTTGAAGTTGCATGAAGAAGAGGACAGTTAGACACCTGATGTGTGGATCATAAGGCAGTTTGTCTGAGTAAGCTCCCTTTTCCCACCCACAACACACTCATTACACACGCAAAGAGACGGCCACACACACAACGGCTCGTGCAAACCAGCAAATGTGCAGGAAAGACTAATAGTTGGGTTTTGCAGTTTTGTGATTGCAAGTAAATCCCCACTCACAAGTGCTTATCCATGCAGTGGAAATTAGCATATGTGCACATCTAATCAGAATGAATCTACAAAGCCTCGTGTGGGTAGCCTGAACCGCACAGCCAGAACGT